AGTATTAGAACACTGGTATATAATTTAAATAAATATTTATAGTTCGTTAAAGCGTACAAAATGCCTTATTTTACTGTAAACAGGATTCAAAGTAACTGATTCAAAGTTACAATCGTTTTTTCAAGCACATACTCATCCTGACCCCGAAACAAGGACGCCTACGCCACTTGTCGTTTTCAATACAGAAATGTTAGTCAGTAACGTAACTATTATTGAAAAATCGATAATAATAATAATAATGATAATTTATTTTGAAATCTGAATTTAAATTGTAATTGTTTGAAAAACAGTATGTGGCGTGTATATATCGAACTACGATAAGTTCACATGGACGGTTGTCGCTTGTGACCGTAAAACACTTCACAATTTAGTACGGCAAATTATGCAGTGCTTCTAGTCGTTACGAGAAGAAATAACACTTGGTACACAAATATTTTACATTGTAAACTCGTGGTAAAATCAAGATGTTATTATACTACGAAAACCTGTGTCCACGTAACTACACTGGTCTACGACATAATCGTCGTAGCTTCGAGTGGAATAACTCAGCTTCTCGCGCTTGTAGCAAACAAAAACTTGAGGACGTTATTACTATTTACAAAAGAGCAACTCAGTAAACAAAAAGTAAGTAACAAATAGATAAAGTTGTGTCCGGAACGTGGACGGACGGCAATAATAGTTACCTCATATGTCTCGATTTGCCGCACGACCGCCGCCGACGCGAGCTGTGTGCCGCTGTCTGGCTAACTCCAACTTACTGGATACGATGACTCCAACTTTCACTTCAGACAACTGTTGCGGATTTTCTTTTATTTTTTATTCTGTTTAATAGATTGTTCATTCTTTAAACTGTTGCAAAGTCACATTGCCTTACGATATAAAATTTATTTTGAGTAGTGCACGGAAATAACCTGCTCGTAGACGTGCGATAGACACGGTAACCCAGTGCCTAGATTGGTTAATCTTTCCAAAACGATGCCTCAACCATGTAACGGACTTCCTCAGACGTACAATGAACAGGCCCATTGAAAGCCTCAATTCTACAATCACCTCTTAAGGTTGTTACAGCCAATATTGGAGATCGACACGATACAAAGAAGACGATTAGGTAACTTTGTTGACCAAAGCATTGATCATTCTCACTCTTTAAAAAGATTAGATTAGTAATTAACGTTTGATTAATGGACCGAAAGTAATCTATTTTGACACACATATACCTATATTTATTGCATAAATACGAATTGCTAATAATATAAGCAATAACCAACCCACAAATTAGTCGTAAGGGTATTCCCATAGTATAGAAGACAGCAATATTAATCATGATCCAATAAAATCGAGTACAGTCTCCCGACACCGTCATTTCCCAGTAAAGTGAGCAGGCAAAACAGTTTTTAATGAGGATTTTGTCGGGATACCTGTTCTCGACCAAAGAATAAAAACGTTCGTTATCTCGACAAATTAGTTTACAAATTAGTCTTCTCGGTTAGAAAATAAAGGTAATTTTCGTCAGCGCTTCGGGCATGTGTATGACGTTGTTATTGTGGCCCTCCACAAAAGAACGCTGTGCACGACAGAAAATTAGTATTCTAGATATTTACGCATTTGAATGTGCCATTTCAGTCTTATATTAGTGTTAATTCTCATCGAATAATCGCGAGTTGTATATTTGGTAAAATATAATACATTTGTTTAAAAAAATATAATACAATACATATATAAAATACCAACCCAATCCCCTTCGTAACAAAGCGGGCTAAGAGAAAAGATAAATAGAATAACTTTACGCAAAAAGTATTCAACCAGTCTTTCCATTGTGAAATTTAAACTACAGCTCTACTATTGTCGTATCCCACCTTCTTAACAGTGTTGTCATCACAATGAACGAGCTGCCATTCCGTTCCACACTCCTAAAGGATGAAATTTTGGAAATGTCTCGACGGAAATTATTTCCGATAAAAGATTGGTATCGTCTTTATGACTGCTCATCAATCAGGTTACGTTCTGCCAGTTATACTTCAATTGATGAAACAAAGTCCTTACAATCAGCCTTGTCGATCCTCTTTTCGGACGAGCTCTACGTAATTACGTCCCTAAGTATACCTGTTGATTGAATTGATTGCATTTTGCAAAACTAATACGTATTTATTTAAAGTGTTAATTCACGAGTAAGTGCATATCAAGTACATGCCCCAAAAGTACTGTCAGTCACATTCAAATTGCAATTGCAAAGAAAATTCAGGATGACAAAAACTCACGCAGTAATCTACTTTCCGTTATTAAGACGTTCTATTAGTTACCGATAGTAAAACTACGACTATCTAAAAATAGCGATGAATTTTAAAAGTACATCTGGTTTGTCAAGCGCAATGAAAACAAAATGTCAGGGATATTTTTCAACACAAGTAAATACGGTACGATAAATCTTTTTATTGCAAAAGTGCATTCTATCTGGGGATATAGCCGTCAATCAAAAAGCGGCAACGGATATTCAAATGAGATGAATTGACAAGTCACATGGTCGGGAACGACGAGCAATCAGGAGATCACACAGATGTGACTCAATCTGATCGACAGATCGCAATTAGAAACGCATTCAACTGAATATTGGTGACTATGCTTTGCTAGGACACGTACACTATGTATCTTCAATATTATAAATCTTCTACACTTTAGTACCCCTACTATCATGCGAAACGTCGACTTTTGTCGATTTTTTTGTGCAAGGAAGTAGTAAATAGGTAGGTACTTATTCTAAGTAAAGTAACTACAATTGAGAATAGGGTGGTTTGCAACTGTTTGATGAATAATACCATCTCAGTCAGGCTTGACCATGGGACCCGTAAAGTGCCCGAATGTTGGTTTCTTTGAATATAACAAATATTACACGCGATCTGGAAGAAAAAAAATCCAACATACATGTTTTTCACATGAACCAGATTAATATGTTTAATTTGTAAGATTTGCCCGTAATTTTAGATCAGTAGCAGTTCAAGAAGTTTATTGAAACTGCTTCATAAACTAAAATAGCAAATTTGATAGTAAAATCAATAGGACACTGCACGAAGGCTAAACGTGAACGAAAATCAAATTAAATCAAATGTTGTGTGAATATAGAAAACGGTGAATCGGCACAATGCACGCTCCATTGTACATAATTAATAATTAAAAATAAACAAAACGCAGAACTGATTTACCAGATCACACATCGCTGCGTGAACAACAAAGGCCACATCTATACCTACATTTTAGCAAACACTTATTGAATGTGGCAAACCGCACGTACCGTGCGCCGTGACCCTTCGCAAATACATATTTTCCTATATTTAACTTGTCGAACATCCGAATCAGTGCGGTAGGAAATGAGTCACCTTCCTCTCCCGGCGGGGGCCTGGCAGCACTCACTCAGCTCAGATAGTGTCAGATTAGTGCGGCCGCCATTCTATGTCGACACCGGCCAGGCCCGTTAGAAGTGAAATTAATTATGCTAACGGAATTATAATCAAAATTAACCTTTAAAGCCATTAGGATTTCAAGTTTAAAGCACGTTGCAAGGCTAATTTAAAGCGATAATAAAATAAAAAACACTTTATAAACATTGCACATACAGATAAGTTCTTTCAAAGAAATACATCTTTGGTTATAGGCGAATAAATTAGCAATCAATTTTAAGACAATATATTCAGGTCTATCTCGGTATGCATAAAAAGCGGCGGGCTGCAGCCCACGCTTCCAGCAGGTTGAATGCCATTAAGGGCCCCTTCTTAACATAAGCTGAAAGAAATCTTGTTCAGTCGGCGTAATGCTCGCGAGCGGCGTTCGATGGCTTTCGGTCGGGCAATCGCATCGCGCCGGAACGCCACGGCGTCGCTAAAATATTCAACCAATTAGAGCTTAGAGCCTATACACGACTAATTTTACAAGCGCCGACGTCTCGAGTCACATGCGCGTATACGCGCCACAGACGCGCTGTAGTCGTGCGTATGTATCGCGCAAGTTGATAAGAGATAGTTTTAATTATAGTTTTGTTTGTTAATTTCAGTTAGATTTTGAAATGAAATAACTACATGAAGTTCTAAGTGTAAATTCCAGTGGAGTATATAAACTTCTTGCTTACAACGCGATGTTTGCGCGTGTTTTAGTCAATTCAGTACAGCACGTACACGGCGCGTATACGCGCAGATGACGAGCGTTTACGGCGCCGTAAACGCGAGTTTGTGAAACCCGCGTATCAAATACCACGTGTGGAAAGGGTCTTAAGCAACCCTTTAGGGCGCTGCTATAATAAGAATATAAGTATCGAATGTATTCTCATCAATTACGTATTTCTACTTTCTATGAATATTAAGTTCCTGCCAAGAATCTAATATCGTCAGATTGTTGTTCTTCATTATCGTTATCAACCGATTATATATCCCGCTGTTAGGAACGATTTCATACGTTTTCGAAGGGTTTTGAACTGTCTTCGACATGCAGATTTTATGCGCGAGATTTTGCTACTAATTATTGACAAATTCACGTAAATTAGAAATTAAAACCATAGGTAGGCTCCTCAGGAATCTCTCAGCTGAGAATCAACCATTCTCCCACTAGGCTACCACAGCTCTTTTTATAATATTAACCTAACATATGAAAGAATGCCCACTAAAGCTGACATCTTTGCATAGCAGCATACAAGTCGACGCGAAAGGAGCAATCTACTTGACGACTCAAAATAGAACGTTTCCCATAACACTGACATCCTTGAAGTCCCGCGGCGAAACCGCACAAGACACTCGCCAAATTGTTTTCGCTAACGTTCAAAATGACTCAAACCACGACTACTGGGACGACAGAACCGACGAGTTGCTGCTCTCGAACGACATAAATGCGACGTACGACGACGTCGGAAATAACAACGTGTGGAAGAGAGACTTTAAGAGGAGCATTAACGATGCAGTGTCGAAAAATATCACGTTGGTGCTTGAGAACCTTTTGAAGAATTACGAGAATTCTCAACTGCCTACGCATGGAAAAGGTAACCTCTATTTTTTTTTGTATGCGGTATAGGATACGATGTCAGGCTGTATATGATGATGGTGATGATAGGATACGATTTAGTAACAATGTGTCTTTTTTAGGATATCCCACAGTTGTACAAACGAATATCTTAATAAGAAGCATGGGACCGGTCTCTGAACTTGATATGGTAAGCAAGGAAATATAATACAGATATAAATCTTTTGAGCACGTTGCATGCCCTGTGCAATTTGCGTAAGCAAAACCTAGTGAACACTTCTCTTTTAGGATTACTCCATGGATTGTTACTTCAGGCAATACTGGCGCGACACGAGGCTTTCTTTTCTCGGTCCCATTCGTTCCTTGTCACTTTCCATCAAGATGTTGGAGCGGATCTGGCGACCAGACACCTACTTCTACAATGGAAAGCACTCTTATGTACATACTATCACAGTGCCGAATAAGTTGCTACGCATTAGTCAACATGGAGATATTTTGTACTCTATGCGGTAAGTAGACACCTTCTTTCTACTTATTGGTTAAGAAATTGCTTTACTCGAACTTGATGAATCTGGGATTATGCTGGAACCCATGTTTAATTGTAGACATTGAAAGAAGTCCGTTCCCTTCCTCCAAAAACCCCCATAATCTGCTACGCGAACAACACTGCCATAGTATTGCAACGAAACAAGAAATGAAAATGATATATAATATAACTGGTTGCAAATTACTAACGCTAAATAACAAGAACACCAAACACATTATGTTTTTGCAAAACAGAAATGTCCGCACCACTTTCGCGTTTACAAATACATCAATGTGCGGATGTCGCCACCTGCGACTGTAAAACCTGAAACGCACAGTAAGTTTAAAATACTAGAAGCGGCAGTGAATGAATAACTCAACCTTAATTCACATCATCTTTATCAACTCGGATCAAAAGGTCGACTTTTTGCGGCAAACTGCAGCCCCTTTGAATATTACTTATTTACGTTTTGCTTGCCTTTACTTACCTACTGTATTACATTCAATGCCTTAAAATCTCATTTTATACAAGTCAAGAGAGCCCAATCTTGAATCTTAAAACAGTCTTTAAAAATACCTGAAGCCACAGTGAGTTTATCTGAATAGTCATGTTAACTGAATGTTCGTAAGTTACACCTTCTTTAGATGATGTAACACACGTAAGAAGATTATAGCGGCAGACATTATGCAGATATTTGTACTACGGAATACAGAATAAGATTTGCATTTGCGGAATGCTACTTCCTTTTATATCAGAGCGTCATTATATAACGGCTCTGTAGGTTAGAAAATACGTTCCTAAACGGCTGACTTTTAAATCGATGAATTAGATAATTATGATTATTATTAATTATAGTGACAGTGCACGAATTTAAACGTTTTTATTTATATTTTATCTGAAGTTCATGACAGTGACTAAACTTGGTCTACATATTCAAAATTAATTTAAGCTCTCACGTTACACTCTTGCCTAACATGGGGTGCTCAGTTAAAACTTGACCAATATACATATCGATACCTTTAAACTTAATTGGTGTAAAGGACAAAACAACAAAAAACGTCTTCTTTTTCAGAAAAAGTGTTATAACTTTTTGTTTCTTGAACTTATAGGCGTTTTGAAAAATCTAACAATTCTTTATTTTATAGCAGGTTACCTACTATTACGAAAAAACCTGTATTTTAGAAATCAATGTACTTTACACTGCATTAAAAGAACATTTTATGTCCTTTACACCTCACGCTGTAAAAAATAATATGACGATTTAAGGTGTAAGTGGCACATATAAGTCTCACATAAAATTATGGCAATTCTTGGGCACAAACTAACTATAGGTACATAAAACTGAATATATCACCTGAGGTTGAACTTGCTGTAAATAGTAGAGAAAAATGAATTATCCTTTTTTCCATTTCATGAACAATGAGTGGCATTTAGTTCACGCGCTTATTACCTTACACTAGTTTTTTCATTTATTGCATGCATTATTTAATAATTATTGGCGCCATTTCATAATAAAGCTAAAATTGTTACTGTAAACTATTTTTTATTTGTTACCAACAGTCAACAGAATCAAAATATCTATGTAATATAATAATTACAACGAACTCTCAGTGTTAAACTGTCGTACTGCTAATTAATAAATATTTTATGAAAAATACTACAAGAAACAATACTTTAATCTAGTAATCTTTTTACTTTTAGAAAGGTGTAACAAAATTATACTATTCCAGTTTTTTTTTCAATATCAATCGATGAATCAGAAAACTTATTTGTGACTAAATAAGGGACCTTACATTATTAGTAGATATCTACTGAATGGCAACATAATGTTATTTAACGTTCATTCTCGTTATTCTTATTATTATTTAAAACATTTATAAACAAAATTATCATTGTTGTATGTGCACCAAAGTAGGTAACTTCTAAACGGGAAAAGGCCACTTTTTTTCTTATTTCTCTTGGCTTTTCGCGGTGAGCGTTTTAGCCACATACAGAGTGTTTTGACTGACATGTTTTTAAAACGGGGAAACTTTTATATCATGGAATGTAATTTGGAAACGGGATTTGAAAATTGGAGAAAAAGGGAAAAATGTATCAGGCGAGGAATTATGAGATGTAAATAAACAAAATAGCATAAATATAGAATAAATATCAAACCAACTCACGTTTATTTGTATCAAAATATTTAATAAAAAACTTACCTACACAGAAGAACTACACTAACTAACTATCAACACAAACTAAATAACTGTTTGCATACAATATAAAACAAAATAAGTCGTCTGATCACTTATAAATTAATTTTTCAGTAATAAAAACTCGAAAACACGACCGCCAAAATCGAAGTTTCCCGCGTTTTTTTCACTTTTTTTTTACTTACAAACAAATTATTTCACTTTATGTGCTAATAATGAACGCTGAGAAGAAACAAAAAGTGATGGCCTTTACGCTTTTGCTTGCATATGACTTGTTCTTAAATGGCTCTAGCTTTTCTAGTTCATTTTAAGTTTTGATATTTATGCCCTCGAAATCTAGAATTTTAGTATTTGACAACGAAACAGTATTTAGGTGTACAGTGCAATTTTTTAGAGATATCAAAATTTTAAGTTCGGTAGAGCTCAAAAACTGTACTAGACTGTATATATAACTCGGTTTCAGAATGTTGACCTTTATGCAAGTTGAATCTAAATGTATTGATATTATATTAATAATAATAAAGCAAACACTTATAGCCCCGCACTAGGACAACTACAAATTACACCCAAACTCACCCCGACCCGAAACCTCTACGTGGCAGTTCAGCCTGGTAACCTTTTGCGTACGGAATCAGTTACTTATTTTTTATTATAAGTATCTACTTTTACTTTACTTATAATAGCTCGATTGTTTTTTAACGTGCGTATTTAAATAAATTTCATTTCAAAAATTAATAATTCATATATATAAAAAACAATATTTTTCGTTATTAATTGGTTATTACGTAAATAGTCATAAATGGCTACCTAATTAAAAACATTTGTTCTTGATATTCGATCGAGTATGTCATAGATTACCTTTTACCGACATGGGAATACCTGTATTGGTATAGCAATAGTACAACCACCCACAAAACAAAACGTGAGAACAACCAAATTTACGTCAACGCTCACGAAAAGCAATCGCAGGGTTACCTCTCCTGGTACTAAGGCGGTAATTTTATCGTCGATTGAATTGATCGATCTAAGTTCCATCGCGTGCCGACAATAACGCACGAAGATAGCTCTTGATTTCGTTTAACAGATCTATAAGATATACATTGCTGATTTATCCATTCGTTTACGTTGATAACAAGGAATAGATCTTATTTTACTAGTAGGTATATCATATTTATATTTCTTTCTTAAATACGTTTTGAATAAACCTATATATACAATTATACAATTCATTCTAAATTTAAATAATAATAATCTGCAAAATAACAACTTTTCAAAACAGAGGTTTAAAGATTCTAGGAACGAAATTACTCGATCGATAATTAATATCTTTGTGTATAGGAGAATCATAAATTTGAGTCACAGATGGCGCTACGGCGGAATAGTCATTAAAAGCCAAAAAGAAAGTTCTACAACAAGCACATAGACTAACGAAAAGACATAACTTTATAAATTTAAGTTCGCTAGTTCGTTCCGTGGCTTAATTGCCAGACGCTATTGGCACGGTTTGCTGGAAGACATTGGTTCGAATTCAGTAATATAAAGTTTGTATTAATAATTATAACAAACTAGTGGAGTAATTTCACAAAAAGAATTGAATATAATTGTGGTCAAAACATCGTGACATTTAATATAAAAAACTTAAAAACATACATACTTAGTTTGTTAAATATACTTCGTATTATTTATTATTCAGTACATTATTCAATGGACTCATTGCAAAAAATAATATATCACAAAATAATACCCATACAGAGTAGTACAACGATATGTGTAGGCACTAATTGCGATATCTTTAACTGCGTTGCTGTTGCTTTTAAGAGGACACTTCTTGCATTGTTGTAAGGTGAATAGCGTATTTTTTTGTTCTTTTTTTACTCTGATAATAATTAATTTAGCTTCTGTTTAAGATATCTAAGATCTATCTAAAAAAGGGAATGTCAAAATGGTATATATGGTAAATCGTTGGGTCTACGAGTATGAGAATACGTAGCCGACGCCATTGTTCTGCCAAAGCCCTAATTAAAAAGATGTAGTATTCTACCTCGTCAAATATTTGTATATTTTACTAAGTAGAAATAATTGGCTAAACACAAATACTGCGTTAAAATTATACCTTTAAGCACTAAATAAATTACATTGACACAAGAGAAAACAAAAGTAGCCTAAGAAAATCACTTTTTCATAAGCCAATATCATTGTATGATAATCCGTTGCAGTGCGTTCAAATAAATCCACAGATCTACAAACTGAATTTTTGAACAATGCTAGAAATTGGTTCTGGATTCACGATTTACTTACTCGCGTAACGATACGAGGGTACAATCGACTGTTAATCGGTTTATATCAATTCAGAGAGCGCTCCGACCGGCTCGCTTGCCGCCTGTCGTGCCGCCTACCGGCGACAACACTAACAGCTTGGGTCCATTTAGCTAATCCTACCAATCTCTCTCTCAAATCTCCTTGAAAATATTTTAGAGGGAGCAAGCAATCTCTACTAAATATAAACACATATATGTATACTGAACAATGCAGCGGTCCCATTAAACCGCCAATCATTTTCAGGTTGACAATAAAAGCTAAATGCCCTATGGAACTCCGGAATTTTCCGATGGATCGCCAATCATGCCCTCTTGTTCTTGGAAGCTGTGAGTACCTTCGTTTACTTTGCGTTTTCTGTTCAACATGAAGCTTTGCTTCGAAAATCTGTAGCGGTTATAAATGTATGGAAATCTATTGACGCGCAAAGAAAACCAGAAAGATATTTACATAAAATTACTTTGTATCGTTTCAAGATTTTCACCTGGAATTGTGTACAAAAGATAATCGCGAAGCATCGCCCATTTTGTTCCTATTATAATGATCTCCACTAAAGAAAAGGAATAACTTGCAGCTCCTGCTAAACGACTTTTCCTAACGTTCAATATGATAACACGCAAGTCTTTACAAGTAAAATTCAAAAGAAAATTGTACAACATTAATGTACAATAACAATAATAAAACGAAATTAATAACAAGCAACTTAATAAGGCATTCTAGTAGTTCATTATAAAGAATTAAAATCAGGTTCGCTTCGAAAATATACTAGAGTGATTGTGCTTATTATGATGGCTTTTATTTGTTCATGTTCGTTTGTGATATTTATAGAGAGCCCTCATGGAACTGCATTCCGTTATTTGAAAACCAATTTTTTCAATTACATCGTAAATTGGACACAGATGCGTACTCGAACCAGCAACTGGTGTACCAGTGGCAGAACTCGCAGAGCGTCAATTTCGTGCCTGGGATGACTCTATCACAATTCGACCTTATCAGCTTTCCGTACAGAAACTTTACGTTCACCAGGAGAGAAGGTAAGATTTACTAAAGTACATCACTATTAATCATTGAATTGAAAGTGTTACTTACTTTGTCATTTTAACTTCTTCTTTATAATTAAAAACTATGACTCTACAATGAACAGAAAATTTTGTTTGACGGGTAGGTAATGAAGAGAAACCCTCATGGGCATGGCATCTTTCTAACTAAACAAATGTACAACATAGTAAGGAGATTAATGCCCTAATGAGCTCATAATAGTTTTCTTATCGAGAGTGTAGCAAGAAACACAATAGTCAAAACTTTTGTTAGTGGTAAGAGTTACTCATAATATGTCACTTCGTGTCAAACAAAGGACATCCTTCTGTTTTAATTCTCTTCTAAGGGTAACTGATGATATAAATTAAGCTGACAAACGAGTTAATTAAATTAATATACATACGTAATACACTGGAAAACAGAATTTTTACTATATTGTTTCAACGAGCTGCAGAAAAGTCCGACAGTTCGTGCGGAAATGAGCTCTGTGCATTCGTCATTATTACATACATGTGATGCGTGTTAGAGTTTATTGATCCCTTTTCGGAAAAAAATTATGACCCCATCCAATAATTGCGACATGTGTCGTAGCTACCCACCTAAGCCACTCATTTGGCAAAAAGGAAGTTGTTAACGCTCTAACAAAAGTAACCCTTTATTAAGCCGCCTGTACAAATACAATAATATGGATAGGGATCCATACTAACTACGGCTCTTCTAATTTCTCATGAACATGACTGTCACAAAGCAATTATTTATTTTTACATACAAACGTATCATCCCGTTTCTCTCCCACTTGAATAGATAGAGATCATAAGCCTCCACAACGCGATCTTACTACACCATTGGACATTCCGTCGCGTCGTTTAGAGTAACACAATAAATACTGCGTAAAGTTCTAATTTATACATCATTCACCCTAATTGCATGCTTGTATCCAATAATTTATTTTTGCTTTGGTAGAACTAAATATTCTAATGAACCTTGCATGATGTGTATATGTTATAAATATGGGTGGCAGTAAACGAAAAAGCCCTCGAGCGTGATCCCCCGGCTCTGCTCTCATAACAGCTTTTATCCCCACTAATCACGGACGCGCCCGAGCCGTTGCCGCGCCCGCGCCCGCTCGCCTCGCAGCTTTATACGTATTACCGCTTAAAACGATTCCGTACACATGGGCTCAGACATGGAAAATATGGAATAAATGTTTCTTGTTAGAGACACCACACTTGCAAGTCTAAACAAAGTAGATAACCAATTTAGTATAAATATTTTACTTAAAGCCTATATATACAATAAAATGCAAAAACTTACAATAAAAGACATATTGACAAGAAATGCATAATTTATCTATATCTTTGTTAAGTATGTAGGTACTGCGAGAGTTTGCTAGATATACCAATGAGAGCTAATGGCATTTGCGTAGAAAAGTAGGATAACTTTTGCAGCTCTAATAACTTTTTTATCACTCAAGCAACTCAAACATGTCGACGACTGTTTCCCCATGAGCCATGAGTACACTTTGCACCGAACCAATGTATATGCAGTACCACCGGAGTACCTAATTACGCCGCAAAACAGCGCGGCAGAAATGCAAATGAAGTACCTAAAATGCCATGACAGGTTTGTACCTCATGTGTCCCGCGCCTCTCAGAAGCATTCACAATATTAAAGATACTTTATAGACTGCTGAAGCCAGTATTTTGTTCTTTTCTTGCGTGTCTTTTTTCATTTGCCACTAAGTCAAAGTCAAAATTCTTTTAGCAATTACAAAATCCACCTAAACTGTCATGTTTACGGGGAAATTCACGCTCTCGTTTTATTTGTCGTCTAGTAAACAGGCAATCAAAATAGAGCTCAAGTTCGGTTCTGTACCAACAAAGTACGATTAGATTTTTTTCGAGAACAAACACGAAATAATGCCTAGCTGAAAGCACCGAACATGACAAGGATCGGCTTTTTCGCTCGACGGACTTTACATTTGCTCAAATCGACGACATGAATGACGTGGAAACGGCCACCGATCTTCTTATATAAATAACTTCATACAAATTTATTATTAAATTAAATGAAAAATTCATCGCCCTACCAATCCGCAATATGAATTTAATAAATATTTCTATCCACTTGATTTGATGCGACACATTGAAAATAAAACTATTTTTTGGGGACCAAAATCGTTTACTTATGTACATATATTTGTAACAATAAACGTTTTATCTATCTATCTAACATTTGTTTTTGTTTTCAAACCAAACTTACGGGCTCTTTACAGACCCTGTAAAGAGACAATTTAGACCCGAAAAAAGGTTTCATTTCCAATGTGTAGCAATAGCTACTACACATTGGGAATGAAACCTTAACACAAGAACTCCATTAATATTTTCTACTTGAGTACTTTTCTATGTATTCTCTATACACAAATACCACTTACGAGTGTTGTATATGCGTTGTAGATTGTGAGCAGGTAAATGAAATACTAACCGTGAATAAGTTAATATATATTTTTTGAATATAATATCGTCTGTTTAAAGGTAAAACCACATGAGTGACATTTTCCACAAAAAGTTTTTAATTTACATAGGTATGGTAGGAAAATCACTGTCTTTCTGCACGTGAAACTCAATAACAAAAAAACTACAAACTCAATAAGAATTTAATCTGCAGAAAGATGGTGATTTTCTTACAACAGGTACATCATTTGGAGACTTTTTGTGGAAAATGTCACTTATGTGATTTTACCTTTTAGCAGACGATATACTATATTGCTTGTTACTTCGGGGAAAATTGTGTGTAGAAGCCAAATTATATAATACAAATTTCGCACGGCGAATGGAAAACGAATATTTACAAAAGTAGTTCATAATATGGTGTGTAAGAAACAATATATACTTAAATGTTAATAAATGTCACGTTATCACATTCACCACAAAAAGATTATTATCGAATACCAGTACAATATAAACGGCGTGAAACTAAGTAACGCAACAGGACAGAGTCATTGATCCTGGTATTTGGCTTGACTCTAAACTTAATTTTTCGACACATTACCACCACATTGTTGCCAAAACATACAGAATGTTAGGTTTTATTAATAGAGTGACAAAACTATTCCAAAACCCAAACAGTATGATAACTCTGTTCTTCCTTGGTCCGCAGCAATTTAGAGTATGTTTATATGGTCACCCTTTTATAATTGTCATATTGAAAGAATCGAAGCTATCCAAAGACGATTTCTTCGGAACTTGAGCACCTAGCGGTTCGGAATGTGTAGGAAATTGGATACTTACGAAGCAAGACTCAAATATTTTAAGGTACACCCTCTTCAGTACAGACGTATGATACCGGCCTATTCCACACTGTTTAAAATTATCAACTTTGAAATAGACTCAAGTGAGATGTTAAGCCACGCCTCGTTTAAGATTGGCAGTAAACGTACCCGAATAACTTTTTCTCTGCCATGTACCACTAACAATGTCTCATATAATGATCCTATTTTTCGCATGTTCAGAGCTCATAACAACTTTTCTAAAGATTTGGACTTATTCCTTATATATATTTGGAAGGAGAAGCTGAATATGTTGGATATTCAAAAATCTCATTGTTTTTATGTACGTGTAACATGATTTTTTGCTATTATTTTAAGTGCAATTTATTTATTATGTTCAATAGTCTGTTAATTTGTAAGCACTTTTACTAAATTCCGTGCGTGGCTGTCATAGGAATACAAATTTACTCCTATTGTAATGCATGTTCACTTTAAGCGTCTTCACAGTATGTATTCTGTAGCTATGCCAAAAATAAAGAAATAAATAAATATTTTTATTCTTTTAAGTATGTTTATGCAACTAAGCCATTTTACAATAGGTATCTACCTTAGAGCTGACAAATCGAAATGGTATGAAAATTTAATAATTACTTAAACGATTTACTTATTTCTTTTATACGCCGTTTTTTCACTAAGTAACGTTTGTTTAATGCTAACATTTACGACATTTTCTGCGAATACCATTATAGAAATTAAATTTATAGGTGACTTCTCGGTCCTGCAAGTGTCGTTCAACCTCCAGCGTCACACGGGATATTTTCTCATACAAGTGTACGTGCCCTGCATCCTCATCGTGGTCCTCTCGTGGGTCTCGTTTTGGATACATCGCGAGGTAATGAATACGCAACAATCTACTCTTCAACGAAAAAGAATAAACAAAAGTTACAGCAGTTGGAAGAACCCGCTGAATGCGAGCAGCAGCAGCGGCGTAAGAACCACAGACATATCTAGATATACATACATATGTCTGTGGTAAGAGCGGTCTTTGTGGGGGGCTATGTCAGTAAAGGACGTCAATCACAATTTATAATACATGTCAAGGAATAATATGATCGACACCATGACACTAATAGTATAAACGATATAAATGAACATGAATTACAATTTCTTCGAAAAAAATTCCTCTAAAGTTCATTATCCAATAAAAGGCGTTTCAGTCGGATATAAAACATTTCGTCGTTTGTAACCAATCAATTTTTAACACTTTTAAGATTTGCCCCTTCCCATAAACAACGTACTCGACATTTTTAGCGAAATTGAGTTATTGACATATCGCACTGCCATTACTATAGTGTCGTAACTCAAAATTGTGGAATGAAGGAAACACTATTTGACAATTTCAAAAAAATACTGAATGAAACCAATATTCTGTATATTCTCGTTTTTAATTGATAATTAAGTGTTATGTATAAATAAAGATAAACACATTATTGGCAATAAGATCCAATCAGTACTTTTTTGTTGAATTTTCAAATTGTGTTTTGTCAATTCCACAAGTTTTAATTATGACACTATTATAATAGCAGTATAGTTTTAGTAGCAGTAGAGCTCCTTGTGAAAGAGTTCGTCCAGGGAAGTACTGCCACCATACCTGTTTCTGCCGCAAAGCAGTAATGTGAGCATTACTGCGTTCCGGTTTTGAAGGGTGCTGGTGAAATTATAGGCACATGGGATTTGTCAACTTATGTCTCAAGGTGTCGAGCGCAGTGGAAGGGCCTCTCAGATCTTTGCGATTTAAAGCTCTGAGTGGCACTGCAACTGTTATGGACAGGCGTGTAGCTTACCATCAGGCGCACGATTTTCGTCCCGTCACTTGATATTATTAAAAAAAAGAAAGTGCGAAATCTGAAATTAGCGAAACGACGTCTGCAACCCCCTTTAAGGGTTTTTTTTATATCTTATTTAGTTTCAGTTTTATTGTTAGGAAAAATCAGAGTAATTGACATTTTACAAAGGAAAAAAACTTTAGATGCCAATATCTGAAAAGTCAACAAAATGCAATTCCGTTGTAAACGAGGGCAGTATTATAAACGATTATGACATATCTGCCTCCGTGGCCGAACGGTTACCATGCCGGATTGCCACGCAGAGGTCCCAGGTTGGATTCCCGGACCGGGAGAAATATTTACATGGCTTACATTAATTTCTCTCGTGAGCATGGGTGTAATTTGTGATTGTCTACGTGCGTGTCCATGGCACCCGCGACACAGGGTTTCTCTAGTGGCTATCTTGAGTGTGTGCGTTGTTATTATTATTATTATATCACAAATTGTTTATTCACAATAAAAAAATATATACATGGTGTTGTTTTAAAAAGGAAGTGATGATGATAGCAGTATTATGTTATAATTATAACTTACGTTGCATGGTTAACCATTTGAATAAAAATAACGTTGCTAACAGTATACCTACCTATTTAGTAGATACATTATGCCTACTTTCTATAAATTCATCTATATTTATATAGGTATAAACAAGGCTGTACTTTATACATATAATGTCCGCTTTCTTTTCGTCCAGGCAACTTCAGACCGGGTAGGACTAGGGATCACAACAGTGCTGACCTTGTCCACAATAAGTCTCGACTCGCGGACAGATCTTCCGAAAGTTCGCTACGCTACGGCCCTGGATTGGTTCCTGCTCATGAGCTTCTTCTACTGCATAGCTACTTTACTGGAATTTGCCGGAGTGCATTACTTTACCAAGGTATAATGAAAAAACTCCGCACGTAAACGTTCAAAAATGATTGTTTAAAGTTGTGATTATTCCCAAAGGTATATAAAAATTGTGAATTCTCAAACTTAAAAAAAAAACAAAGTATTTAATTGTGGAACTTTCGCAGGTCGGCTCGGGGGAGATCGTGATAGACGATTCCGAATGGGAAGAATTAATCGAAGAAGTGGGCGGCGACGCTTTTGCCGCCAGACAACTCGCGGTGCGGAGACGAAGTTCTGCTCGATCCGTTACTAATTACGTAATTTATTTTATTTATTTACTTATTTTTATAACAATTGTGATTTCATAAAACAAAACTACACTATCTATCACATGGCATTGAGAAATATTTCAAATTACACCGCACGCAGTCAAGAGTCAGCTACAATCTCAATTACAGATTGCTCAAAAATATATTTAAACAAATCAGATGCATAACTGCAGTGTCCAAGAGATACATTCTGTTCCTTCATCACACATAACCCCGACTTTATAGAGATGTTTCTTTGAAATATTCCAGAGCTTCTCGTTACCAGTGCAAGGCAATTGTTCAGGCGACGAAATGCCAGCGACGACGCCAGCTGCGACCGGGCACGGTGGCGCAGTCAGGTTGACGATGGAGCGGACCACCCAGACGGAACACCGCGTCCCAAAGTGGAGACAACTGCTTTACTGCTTGGCTGGCGATGATCAGTACCGACGGCAGCGTCAGCGAGAAGCTGGTAAATTACGAATAGTGAAACTACACCTGCTGTGGGTGTTATTAACGTCCCACTGGTTCGTATTACTGGCTGGAAGCGACGCACCGTAGCACGTCCCGCCAAAGGAGTAGCACATGGTATAGCAAGACCACGCGAGAATCACGTTAGTTTCTTCTTCAAACCTGCAAGCTGAGGAAGGGGGAGCCCATGCTTGAAGTTTTCCTTTGGGCTATGACATGTCAGCTGTTGAAATTACAAGCACATGAGACTTGTCAACTTATGTCTCAGGATAACGGGTGCAGTGGCAGTGCGCCTTAGTTCGTTGCGATTTAAAACTCTGAGTGGCACTGTAACTGTTATGGACAGGCGTGTAGCTTGTAAGACCACTTGTTCGTTTTGTCACTTGATATTATAATAATAAAAAAATTCTTTAAAAAGCAAGTACCTAAATAGGGACGGCAAAGACAGGGCAACGTCCTCTGGTACCTACTATAAATGTCCATGAGCGACGATGAACTCCTCCCAACAAATGGCTGATTTGCTCGTTTGCCTCCTAGTACATTAAAAAAAGCTAGAGTGAGGGAAAAACAAACCATTATCCCAGTGGCGGATTTGCAGTCTTGGCCGCCCAAGGCCCCACGCCACGTAGTCAGTACCAGCCGCCCCTTTCTGAGCACTCATATACCTAATGGTAGACATATCTATATTTTATAAATAAAATGTAAGAAAGTGATTTAGGAAGATTATTGTTATACGTTGCGGTGCAGTGGGGCCCGCCATAATGTGCGTGAGCCTATAAAATATTTAGGTACTTTGACTTATTTCTTGTTACCATCAGTGAATTTTTTGTCACGATTGGCCGCCCCTAAAATCTGACCGCCCTAGGCCTAGGGTGGCCTCAGGGCAAATCCGCCACTGCATTGTCCACTATGCTAGCTGATTTGAACCGTAAATTGTACTTCATAGAAACTTCTTTGATGCGTTTTTTAACCTTCACTATCAACTTAATATCGAAGAGCAAAATTGTTATCTATTACAAAAGCATTAAGTATAATTTAGGAAATTTATTAATTTAAACAAATTGCGTAACTTCCAGGCAGCCGCGGCCACATCAACAGCGTTTCTCACATCGATCGAGCTGCCAGAGTGTTCTTCCCGGCGTCATTCGTTCTTCTCAACCTGTTCTACTGGATGGTCTACGCGTTCTCGAACGATGATTTTGCCTGGAGCGACAACCCTATCAAAACTTTATCTCATTGAGCAACGTCCAAAGCAGAGATGCCGCAATTGTGGGTTACGACGACATCTGCAGATGCGGATACAAATTTTTCGTCGTTGAAATCTGCTGCTGCGGATGCAAATGTGTGAAAAAAAAATTTTGTTTCTTGTTGGTTTGGTGATAATTAAATATAATTTAAGTAAAAGATATATAAGATACAACAGAGATATGAAAGGTAGAAGCCATATAAATATTACGACATTTATTAATAATACTTAAAAGTTTAAAAAATGTGATGTTTATGTGAATAGAGCTGGGCCATCTTGAATGAAAAAGTATTTAATAAATTCAATATAAACTAAATCATTTTTGTTTAGAAAACAAACAGGCCGTTGCCTGCACTACACGCTGCCGAATTCTCGATCCCTGATTGGCGATTAGCGATAGTACTCGGCACGCACTTTTAGTGGGACTGCTCCCGACGAACTTTTCATGACCTGTAAAACAACCGTAGGTAGATACCCGCAAAAACTCTGCATCGATTGTTTCGGATATCGGATGCGGAAGCACATATTTAAAAATATGCTGATGATCCACGGTTGGGGTTGCAGATGCAGACGTCTGCGGCATCCCTAGTCCAGATGCGCTAGAGTCCAGAGGTTAAATACAGTAGTGAAAAGCAATAAGAACCTAAGTATTTTGAGTATTTGCTGTTTTAGTTAATAACAATTTAGCAAGTTAATCCCCATACGTGTTTCTATCCTGATTCTCTGTATTGATCCTGTGTATTGTGAAGCCGAATAACGTAATTTAAGCCAGCTGACATTAGGTTACAACAGGCTAAACTTTAAAGATTTTAAAATTTTAAGTAAACAAATTAATGAAATTGCGTTAGTAAATTAAATTTTAAATGTTCAGTCGTTAATAGACAATTTAATTGTTACTGACCTGTATACCTAAATCCTACATTATGATCGTCTATTCAATGTTATTATGTCAAATATTTAGAACGAGTTATTATATGTTATATTTACCTTTACTAAGAGTACATATACAAATGGAATTATTATCATTTTATTTGTTCTAAATATAAATATATTATACTAAAGTAACTTTTTTCTATTTACATGATACCTAATTCAGCCGGGCTACACGATCGAGGTTTATCGCGAGCAAACTTACACAAGCTACGTGTCCCACTGTATACTGCATATGCAAGAATGTGTGTAACTGTGCACGAGTCACCATTTGCCAGCTCAAAGGTAGAGATGGGCTTTAAAGCAGAAGATGCGGAAAATGGGAGCAATGAAAACTAACTTTGGGCTTGATTGAATCAAATATATTGTATATCTCAAACAAAATCGCAGTACATACGTTACATACATTATCAGAATATACAAAACTATTGTAATGTTCGCGACAACTGAAGACAATATTGGCCATTATTCAATATGACGAACACTTGCATCATTATTCACAAAATACATATTTTTTTACAATTAGACCGATAAATACATCTCGTATTCGCAAAAACACGAACACTTCATTTTACAATAAATAATCATTCACTCAATTTTCGTTTTGCAAATGTGGAAAATTGCTTTCTTTACATTGCAGTGCATTTGGAATCTGAATTCACATTACCTACATTGCTATTCCTTTATATTTTTTAATTGGAATAAGAATATCTGAGATCACAGGTCAATTAATTAAGTCAAGATTGATATTTATTTTAGATATAAACTACACAAGATTACAGATTAAAATGAAATATAATTATTTGCACAACATAATCGATCAACATTATGACCTCAACTTCACTAATTTTTTATACAATGTCAAGTCTGGCTATTAATATAAATATACCGGATTTCAGAGTCGCGCTTGCGGTCAACACTGGCGAATGTAACCCTAGCACTGAATAGCTTATGACTCACGTTGACCGTTGATCAGCTGGATGGACTTTAACGGTTGAAGTGCAGGGATAACGATTCGAAAAGGTATCGTTTATGCCTACAAAACAGGCGTACCCAAGTTTATTCGCCGTGAAGCTAGATCCTGCAAACGGGCCTCAAGGGCGACAGACTCTGACATCAGCCTATATGTAGAATTCAGACTCACCAAGCATTACAGTCTTTCCAATGATCCGATATAGAGCGCCTACACACGGTCGACCACGAGCATTGTTGATGCGCCTTGCAAATACATTTTAAATCTTTTAAAATATATTTGCAAGGCGCATGTTATTATTAACCAATTATGGCTCAACAAAAAATGGTTTATATTTTCAGTACAGTTTTTAATTCAATATATTATATTCCAGACTTTAATGATTGACCGTGTGTGACGCCCTTACAAGTATGAGTACATACCATACATTTCGTTAATTTTCCTAATAAACGATTAATATTATTATTATTCAGCGCAGCCAAGGTGTCTACAGAGGTTTTGTGGCAAGCATTAGGCACAGGGAATGTAACATTCTCTCGTCGCTGTTAAGAAAATTAGTATAAAAACAGCGAACAATTCGAGATAAGTAAATATTTAAAATCTTTATCGTTAGCAGGTTAGGAACACTGGCCTTGAATGTTACACACTTAGATAGCATCGCCAATCGGATACTTCACGTACATGCGCTACTACTACATATTTTTGGAGACACTACACGAACGCTATGTTTAGAAACCGATAACCCTCTTTATCGACGGCTGTACCTACAAGTTTGCAGCCTGATTATATTTATTCCGTAAAAACAGTTCTGCAGTGAAATTTGACGGCACTGAAACTCAACTCGCCTCAATTTTTTTCAATAAGTAAATGTCCACTTTACATAAATGCCTAATCTACATCGAAGGCATAGGAAGTCAATTTCGAAATATTCAGCTTCGGCAAATTCAACCAAAGTTAATGTGCACCAAACAGGTCACAGAAACCTGAATACATCGACAGCGGCAGCGGCATCGTTTAAAATGTTTACAATGAATTTTATGTCATGGTACGCGCTATTTTCTTACTGTTAGTTCTCCCCAGACTCAATAGATGGCACTCAATCAATTTCAAAACGATTACCTACACAAAACTCGAGGAATGTTTGAAAGTTATTAGCATAAAACAAACTTCGTGCAAAAGCTGTGAAATAATCTGTCCACATCAACTTTCGTTAAATTTGTCCGTCTCTTTTAATCACGATTTGTAAAGTCTACAACGAATGAACAAGATACGTACGTAAAGGGGTCAACAATTAAGTTGTCATTCATAAGAGAGTTATGTATGAACGACTTTACAATTCTATTAAAACTACGTGAATTTCGTATAATCATCACAAATATGTTCTCTAATATAATTGTTTAATTTTTAAATACGGTATGTATATTTATAATATATTTAATTTAATAAATAAGATAGAATCTATGCTTTACAAAGAGGTAAATTTCAAAGAGAGCTAATTATATCTACATAGTTTCCAGTTTTGGTCCTAGGGTCCTGTCAGACAGCCAGCGAATATGTCAACAGTCCAAATACATACGTTTTGAAGGCAAATAGTTAAAATACAAGTGGAATGTATATTAATATAAGGCTTTTATCATAAGATGGAAGATTACCTACTAGGTTATTAAAGGTTGAACCCGACTTGCACCAGAGCACCAAGCCGCATTCATAAATTTCAGTGGTGCAATAAACACACTAAGCAATGGTACGATTTGCTTCAAGTAGAATCCAACCTTCATTTGGGATCAGTAACTTGTATAAAGTTACCGTTTTACGCTACGGTATATAAATAATACATATATATATATATATATTTGTAAAAGTGTTAGTAAATCTAAAAAGTTTGAAGAAAACGTTAAAGCCCGTACTAATAAATCCGTCTCAAGCGTCATCTCGATCTGTATTTATTAATAAATAACATTTGAGTGCCTCGATTATTACACATTGAACATTTGAGAGTTGTCAAAGTTTCCGTTTGTTAATAAACGTCACTCAGACTTAAACTAAGACAAGATAAGTCTCCAGTCAGTTCAAAGGTGCCGATGATTATAATGTGTTACTACAGGAGAACTTAGATGCATGTCGAGTTCAGAGTGATCTGTTTATTAATACGGGTCTAAAACTAGTATCCGTACGGAACAAATAAAGTTGTAATCAATCATAATGATATTTCAATCAGTAACACATCGCTCATTATATCGGTTGAAATGTTATAAAGTATCAAAATTGCTTAGATTGATCATAAGAAATTACGATAATAATGTGTTAAACGACAGAACATATTGTGTACAATGTATCACAGAGCGTTTGTAGCAAACATGCACAATTAACCATAACTAATAATATATGCCTCAAAAAGTGCTTAATTGCCCTGACATCCCAAAAAAGCGTAAAAAGGAAACCAAAACAAATAGGGAGACTTTGTGCGTAACAATGTCTTAAATATAAATTTTAGGGTACATAATTTTAGTTAATGCGTGGTTTACATAAGTTATCCATTAAACTAAAATATTCCGAAAATAAACCATGGACCGAGTTCTTCGAAATGTCAAAGGTACTGCCATTTTAAAATAAAAATATTCTGATCAGCCAAACTAACCAATTTGGTTATATAAAACGTGATGTTTTATGAAATTGGTATTCGCATGAAATTTTTTTTAAATCACTAGTTAAAAATATTTTCTCTATAAATGTGGTAAATTTCATCGCTTAGATCACGTTGATTCTGAACTTACCTCTGATTTCTAGAGTAAGTGGGACAAAGGTAACCGAGTGTAAAGATAGTTTTTACGGGATATTGGTCGACACAAACGATCAGGCCGTATTTGAGCCATAAGGTTAGGGCCATTGTTTTTATTAACATTCAAATAATTTACCTTAACAACTAAAACGCATCTATCTCCTCACTACTATAATAATTTAGTATTGTTTACTCCTTTAGAACATAATCTTACCACCAAGGTCAAATAGCTAATTTATATACAAAAGTGTAATAAATATAAATGTAGTGTATAATTAAAATTTATTTTAATAAATATTAAGGTAGCCTCACGTGGTCATAGCATTTTAACAACTCATTAAATTCCTTGTTTACAGCTATACGAGTAAACTCAATTAGTAGCTTGGTGTACAATAATTGATTCAAAATACGCCAAAATAACTTAAGCCCCCTCCAATTTGTTTAATAACTCCGCTTAGTACACATGGGCCACCTTACGACAAATTGCAGACTAGATCACTGGTCACATGTTCACAATGTAGGCAAGGAGATTTCTGGACGCATATTCGAGTAAATCTCACCTCTATACAAACACGTACGATGCCTATACGAATACAGACACAAAAGCTCAACTAACAATAAATTACGAGACTTATTCAAAAGCACTCAGAGTATTTATTCAAGCCCTACAAAGTACGCCTAAATAAATATGGTAAAAAAGCATCTTTTCTTAAATTACTACAAGTGTACAAATTACTTATTCTCTTACAATTATTACCATACACAAAAATATACAATTAAATCACAGATTCTACTTTTCGCTGTAAATATTATTTCTATCTAGGCATTCCTTTTACCTATAACGAGATACACATTCATGTCGTCTTTACCTTTGACGTAAACGCTACCGCGCTGCTCGAATTCATACCTCGAGGATAGCACCGGTATGCAGGCCTCTCCCACTTGGATCCGTTTAGGCACACCGGTGGAATCCATTCTTGAAGCTATATTGACTGCGTCGCCCCAGATGTCATAGTACAACTTGGTTGTCCCTATTACGCCTGCAGTTACGTCGCCGAAGTTAAACCCGATACGAAGAATAAAATCAAACTCGAGCAGGTCTTGGTTGAAGTTGTCCACTACTTTCTGCATTTCTAAAGCGAAGTCCATGAGCTGAAATAGATGCTCGTGAGGGTCCCTCGAGGCGCGCCTCAGGTCAGGGTTCAGACCACTGGCTGCCATGAACGTGCTGCCGATCGTCTTTATTTTCTCCACATGTTGGAACTCGGACCTTTCAAGCAACTCGTCAAAATCGGCAATTAGCTCATTGAGCACTCTGAGATACTCCTTCCCTTTCAAATAAGATTCATCGTACATTTCGTTAAAGTTTACTATACTAGCGAATATTATACCGGCGTCCTTGTGATTCTCTGAATATTTTGCCGTGTTTTTCAGTTGGTCCGCCACGTGCCGAGGAATAATGTTGTGGAGCAGCCAATCGGCCTGGTTCCGTGTGTTCTGGACCTTCTGCTTATCCCGATTCGCTTCGAAATTGCTGTAAAAGCTCAATCGGTAACTTATCTCAAACTCTCTATTGAGAAACCACACCAACATGAGAAGAAGAACAGTGTCTAAATAAAGTTCTTTCAGATGTATTTCGTGTTGGAATTCGACCTTGCCGTCATTCAAATCATTCACCGTTCCGTTGAAAAAATCTGTCTCATTGTTAGCAACAGTCAGAGGCGATAAGGTTTTATGAACACTGTCGCCCGGCCGGGAGTGCATTTCATGGCAGCCGAGCACGGCAAGGAACAGAAACAAGCCTGAATATGCGGACACTAGGACATTTTTGACGAGCCAATTCATTTGCGTGAAATTACAAAAATGCACGACACTAGTACAGAAAAGGTAGACATAGAAAGGTTGCTGACCTTGCAATATCGTCAGGGTCGTGTTTTGGCAAGAGAAGTTTATTAAGACCGCCAATATTGGCAAACTAATCAACAAGCTACCCGACAGATGCCACGGATACCAATTTGATAAATATTTGAATATTTTGACTGACCGCCTGATAGTTCTGGTCACTACCAAAGTGCCGTTTTTCGTTTTCCATTTCAGGTAATGCCTGTATACGCACAGCGAGGTCGCCATCGCCTCGATCAGGATGAAAAACAGAAACCATCCTATAGACCGGCGCCACTGGTCGTAGAGCGCGAACGTCGACGCGGCGACTGACAGGAATATAATAGCCGAGACCAGGATATCTAATGCCGTGTTAAACCTGGACGTGGTCAGAGTAGGAGGGAAATCCTCGCAGTCGTCGCTTCGGTGAGCTTTGTCTCTGTAGAACTTTTCCATTTCCGGAGTCTTGAAGCACAAGGTGAACCTGGTGAGAGGCGGTTGGACGAAGTAATTGACGCCCGACCTGGCGTTGTCTTGGACGCATCGGATGAGGTGGAGGTCGGACTGCTTGCGCAGTTTCTGCAGCGACTCCACTTGCTTCGCGTCCAACGGAGGCGGCAGGCGGCTGCGCGACGTCTCGTTCAGCGACGACTGGCTGGACGTGTAGTAGCCCGACACGCGCTGCTGCATCATGTCGTGCTGCGACGCGGCCAGCGTGTTGTTCAGCGCGAATATCTGCACGTCGTCGAGCAGAACGAGGTCATCGTCGACTTATTATTAAAATATACTTTACACGTCCCACCCTCCTTTCGCGGTGGCCCGGCGATGCGTTACGAATGAGTTTGATCACCACGTTTTCCTTCACCGTGAACGAGAAATATGTAGAAACAGTAACGGAGACAAACATAGATGTAGGGTTGCCTCACCGCCGCCCTGTCTTTCAGAAACCGGAAGCGTTAGCGAAGTTACCTGGTGCTGAATGCTGGAGCGCCGACTCGTGCTCCGGATGCCGGAGTCCTTGCGGCTGTTGACGGAGGGGCACAGGCTGACGCTGTCGTCGGCGCGCGCGGGCGGCGCCAGCGGCAGGTGCAGGCGCCGCTCCTTCGGCCGCGGCGCGTCGCCCTCCCCCGCGGCCCCCGCGACCCCCGCCGCCCCCGCCGCCCCGCCCTGGTGGGCGCTCAGCGTCGAGCTGCGCGCGCGGACCGGCGGCGGCACCTGCGGCGATTCGCTCCGTTGGGCCACTAAACGAACTCGAGCCACGGCGACATTCTCCCACAAGCCACAAGCCGCTACAGCGGTGCTCGCCTCCGCGCACCCGCCCGCCATCGGAGCCGTTCCAGCGACTTAGTCGCCAGATCTAGGGACTTTAATGCTTACTGGCTTTGGTTGGTTACAAAAATTTAGCTTTAGCGAGAATGTGACTTTTCACTCGTATTATTTTCTAAAATATAAAAATCGTGTCCTGTCAATCGAAAGAAATCTAACGTTAAAAATCAAGTTACATTCGTGTATGCTATTTCCGTGTCTAACGCTGATAATGCCAACATCTAATTCGGCAAAATGGATGATTTTCAGCTCCGCCAGTGGTCATGCTTACTGGCCGCGACTAGTGACTCAGTGGGCGGGGGCACTTAGGAGTTCTTTTTGCGTACAGGCATCCGCAACTTGTTTTCGTCTTTAAGGGCGTTCGAAAAAAGAATCTACACAAGTAAAAGGCGGGGCTCACTCCAGTCTCCGCTTGCGAACTGTTTTGGGACTGGTAAGTCACAAGTCAGTACAACACGTTCAACATGCGTTCAACAACGAGCTGTAGTAGAATGTGGCGTACAAAGGTAAAAAGTATATTCGACTAACCTCGATGTGATTAGGTCTACCGTACTGTGATCGGTAGCTGCTGCTTCTCGCGAACGGTGACATGTTGCTCCGCGACTGGCTCAAGTACGATCGAATATCAATAATCTCGCGCTCGAAACATGCCATCTCGTGACTCTGCGGTATGTTGAGTTTACTGCTGCTGTGCACGGGCCTCGCGACTTTATTGTCTTGAGATTCTATCACTATAGGCACTTGATGGTACCCGTTGTTCGACTGTAAGCCGATACCGGCTCCAGTTTCTAAAAAGTGTATAGTTTTATCACCAAACTCTTGCTTTTTTATCTCGTGCAATGGTGTATCCGAGTGCTTCCGTAAAAATTTGGGTACTTTCCAATTTTTCAACTTGTTCGTGTATTTCCCGTAGCTCCCTGAAAAGCGAAGCGTTAATTCTTTATGCTCGCTTGTAAATACAGTCTAGCGCCCGGGCAATTCTCTGGCCGACAGTCCAGCGATTAACAATAAAACATGTACAACATCCGCCAATAAAGGCGTATAAATAGGAGATGATCACGGCTAGAAACTTATTACAAACGAGTTTATCTGAGAAGCGGGCCGACCGAGACGATTGCGGCGCAACTGTACGCAATATATTACCACACCATTTATCAAGCAAACACTTAGTGCACGGGTGATGTTTGGATAGTACATTTAATGCTTAGAGTTTACATTGTAATGTACCTAGGTACTAAATACCATTGGCATTGCAAAAAATATAATTATTGCCTAAAAAGTAACGAACAAAATAACGATACATATTTTGATTGAGGGCATCGTTTAGTTTGTTTGGAAAATGTTAGATATACAATCACGATAAATAGGCGCCACGAAAGCGAACAGTCATGGTTTGAGTAAGATTTGCATATTTTTATTCTACACTACATAAGATGATACGGTGTCAGTGTCGTCCCAAAATATCCGATGCGAGGATGGTTTTTTCCATAAACAAAGTGATCATTAATTTTTTAAACTGAACGAGTATTTTGAACTCGTTCATTTTGTAACTTCGTGATGTGACAAAGAGAATCACCTTCAACTAATGAGAAGTCATTTTATATCTTATCTGCGACTTGTGCCTTATGCCACTGATAACTAATACTCTTCCAGAGTTCAATTCGTAATATCAGTACATGATTAAGCAAACAAATAAAACGGATATAAGTGTGATGACATTTCAAGACTACACAACACCGGCCCAAGTTAAACATAATGAGTTATTGCAGCCGCTAATCTGGAGCACGCGTTCTCGTAATCTCATAATCCGTATCTCAACAACCTCAATTACCTCTACCACAAGAGATACTTACCGACAGAAGTGGGACTTTTAGACGAGCTGTCGGCTCTCTCAGGGAATGCCTTCTCTCTCTTATCCTCCAGCTCAGCGTCTGAATCCAGAATACTGGGCAACGAACTAGCTTTGGTACGGAAATGGAATGGAGTAGGCGATAGATAATTGCTGGAATCAGGTTTGTGAGGAGCTAGCGTATTGTTTCGGTGGCTACCTCGCGACGGAGGTTGCGGAGAATGGTTGAACGATAGGATAGACTGCGGAGAGGCTGCGGGGGATATTATGAGACGTAAATTAACGGGATTTGAAGGAGTGAGACACTGATCGTGGTCGTAGGGAGAGTGCAGCTGACGGCCCTCTATGAAGAAGGTTTTATGACCTGAGTAAATAACGATTTCAAGGTAAACATACAATTTTGGACAAAAGGTAAAATATAAAATCACTATCAATAAATATCAAACAAACATACCAAACACTTCCTCGCCTTCTTCCAAAACGTAAGACCCTCCCAGAAACCGACTAGTTTCTTCAGATATATGGACGCGGCCCGGCTTTCCTGTCGACTCCATTTTGTTAGCGAAGGAGACATCGTTACTCCAGACGTCAAATTTGAACCGTCTCGTGCCCACGATACCGCAGAGCACCGTGCCAGTGTGCACGCCCACTCTCATGTTGATTCCTTCCCCGCGTTCTCTATCAAATTCCTGTATCGCTTCGATCATACCTACAACGCAATTACGCAGATCATAACACTGACTTGTTTACGTAACTTTTGCACTACTATTGGCGTTCAATTATAAGTACATACCCAATCCCATTTCGACACAGCAAGTGGCGTGGTCCGGCCGCGGCTCCGGGCAACCCGACACACAATAATAACAATCTCCTAAAGTTGAAATTTTCTCGCATCCGTGCGCTTTACAGAGTTCATCGAATTTCTCGAAAAGATCATTCAAAATATTCACTAATTCTTCAGCACCTTTATTACTGGACATTCTTGTAAAACCGACAATGTCAGCGAATAGTATACTGACGTTATCCATGCAGCTCATGTTGAATGGTCTAAATAAAGACTTTATGTCTGATGTTCCCGGATTTGAATTCCTCGGATTTAGAGGATCATGCGTTCGAAGATTAGTGTCAGACTCCTGCACTTGCTCATCCATTAGCCAACTGGCAAGTTTGGGCGGCATCACTGAATGTATCATTTTCTCCTTCAGTTGTTTTTCCATCTCCAGTTGCCTCCTAACTAACAAGCTCTGTCCCACTTTCATAAAAGTGCCGCGCATCCTTACGAATGTCATTAGGTATATATGCACTCCAATAATATGTACACAAAGTTGCAGTAATATCCTCACAAATAATCCAGGGTAGTGCAATTCACCCTCTTTCATGTGTAACACTATGTTGAGAATTTCAAAGATTATGGAATACAGTAATCCAATGACAACACAGGCATAAAGCGGCAGTGGAGTCAATGTGTAAATAATGAGCAGAATTTCAATGCACATAGTAAAGTGTCCAGATTGGCTGATGTCTGCTGCCTGTACTGCACCGTCTTGAGGGTGGGTGACAGTGGTCAGAGTCACCAGGGAGAGACTGAGTGCACACAACGCGAGTGCCATCACCAGTGACAATTTGAGTGTGTACACTTTGTACACATTAGTAAAGGTAATAAATAACATAATGCAGGTTATCAAAAGTACTCCCCCAAATATTGAGCATAAATATGGCCATTTCACTACCATATTATTGAAGCCAAGGCCAAGAACCACAAAGTAGATAAACCATGTTATAGAAAATATCAATATGTATAAAAGTGCAAATCTGAAAGAAAAAATATTAATGTCAAACATGTTTGATTGATTACCATGTTTGTTTTGAATGACTTGGCCATCCGCTTAACATAAACAATTACGTAATAGATGCAAAAGCGATTAATGCTCACCTGAATCTTAGTCTTATCTGCCTAAAGGAACTATTACGATATTGGCCTTCGAGTACTTCAGAATCAAAACGAGGATTCCACCAAGTGCCAGGAGCTGCCCTTTCAAAAGCTATAGGTATACTTAATCCGCAGCAAGTAGTGGTGGGATTGTTGTGTGCCAAGTATGCCTGCACATGCGGCGCAATCCGGATCTGAGCATCCTCACCCTCTGAGCACTCAGCTTCATGTTTGGTGTCAATCTCCGACTCATCATTGCAATTGACACATCCACTTGGGGAGCTCATTGTTCATTTATTACATATATGCGTGTTACCCATCTTCAAATTACTGTGGCATTGTCTTCCATATTTGGAACCTGTGTGAGCATTCAATGTGTTCAGTGTACAATTAAATGAATAATCTACTTGAATTTAATGAGAAACACTACAACATTAGCTGTTGTGAGGAATGCTCAATTAGAACTTACATAATAAAAGAAAATCTGTGATAATTGCTGAAGGTTGGGCCAGAAGTGTTTTTTTTTTAATGCACACACTCAACATAGTGGCACTAGGGAAACCCTGTGTCGCGGATGTCATGGACACACACATAAACAACCACAAATTACAACCCAAACTCACGAGAGAAATAAATGTAAGCTATACAAATATTATTAGTATTCAATGTTTATCGTGGCGATGGTATAGTTGAATTGGATTATGTTGAAAAACAATGTGTCAACAAGGTCAGGCTGAAAATCAGTATCGCGAGGCATACAGCCACAAGGATTATACTGAGCCTGTTCCTTCCACGCACTGTTGTTGTTCCCACATTATTGTTATATTATTATGTTTTGTACGTATTACTGTGTGTGGTAAATAAATGGTTTAAATGGTTTCATCCGGCCCGGGAATCGAACCTGGGACCTCTGCATGGCAGTCCGGCATGGTAACCATTTAGCCACAGAGGGAGTGTAATTATGTTTTTTTAACTATTTACTGAAGATCATTTTATGCCAAATATTACAAGATAAATCTTGTAAGTAAATGCCCAGCAGTGGGCATTGTATGGCTAAATGATGAAATATTTACTGAAATACTTATAAAATCAGTTGTTAAAAAGTTTAAATAAACATTTATGGTATCTAAATCTAATTGATTGGTCAATAATGGTATATAAAACTTATAAATTCATATGTAGCAATGGTTGTGGCAGATTTAACAAAGGTGTCTAATGTTTTAAGTTACTCTTTTGAAATAAACTAGATTGGTGTTCAAATTTTGTCCTAATAACCTGTAGCATTTCGAGGATAAATCTAAAAAATGTGAAAATTAGAGGTCATTTCGTGATTTTTATCTATCGAGGAAACTTTATTGTTTTATGTTTCTGATTAATGTCTATGCTTGAATATATCGTGTAGTTACTCATACAATTTTTTATTTTTAACTTTAAAGTGGATATACCCCTCTAAAATCAAATCGAAGATTAGGAATTTTTCCTCTGTTCCCTCTTAATGCAAGAAGTGGTTTATTGAAATCCAAGTTATAGTTACGTACTTGGTTTGTATACATTCATAGCCAGTTGCAGATGTTTCTAAATGAAGCTCCTAATAACAATATGCTCTCATTTCTATGAAGTTATGTCTTTTGGGAGACAGTATACAACAATTCTAAAAGCAACCAAAATTGTATCATATTAATTTATAGATTATTTCATAGACCAATGTCAAAAAATAGACATATCATAGATGGTTATTAACAACAGATGTTAGTAAATACTGTCGTCAAGCATGGTATTAGTCGAAACATGAATGAACCTACTTACTTATCTCAATAATACTTAGCATATTGGCCGTGCGAAGACCCTGGCTTTCGATATTGTCTTAACAAGGCTCAGTACTTACTTCGTATTTATAGTTGACCGGATAAACAGAACGAAGTCTATGATATAATACTATACGTAATTATATACAGTCACAGACACTATTACTTACAAGATTTATCGTGTAATATTTGGCATAAAATGATCTTCAGCTGAGAATTACCTTTCGCGAAGATTGGTCACACCAGTAAATTACAAGCAAAATGTACATGAAGCAGTCTGTAGCACCAACAATATATTAATATAACCCAAGGAATACTAATCAAGGCATTCAAGCTACACATAAACGGCAAACAAACATCCTCCTACTAAAACTCTTTTCTAGCTTGATTAAAAAGACCGAATTATGACTGTGACTGACACAGTAAAGTTTTTCTGACAGACAGCAAACATGTCATCAGTTGACAGCTGAAGTACAAAACTTGTGTAGCCATTTTAAGTGGTCTTAACCTTAGAGGATGGAAAAAATACTTAACCCACAAACAATGTCTTAACCCCTCAAATCTCTTTGAGGAAACATAATAATTCGTAGAGTTCTGGAATACGACCCGTAGTTTGCGATTTCCATAACACAAGTGCTTTAGATAGTTACTTACTTTGAAGAGCAATGCGCAATGTTAAAACAAAAAACATCTTTTTCAAAATATAAAATGTTTGGTTTTTTTTCTAAAATACATAATATAATAAAACAATAATTTTCTTTTAATTTTTTTTTTCAATTTTCAGTTATTATTGTCGCACTGCAGGACAAAGACCTCCCTTCCCTTTTATCACTCTTCACGATTTAACGCCGGTACAGGCCAAGGTCTCACATAAGCATACAATTCATTATGCCATCATGTTCTGGGTTTCCCACGCCTTCGTCTTGCGCTTGGTGGTGTCCACTCCGTGTCTGACCCAGTTCCAATGTAAGCATGCGGCTTTGTGGTGACCAATGTTTACGATTTGGTTTTGGAGCGCAGTATGCTGTTTCGCACGCGGTCTGACTTGCTACCAAGATACTGTGCACCATGCCTCCCTGACACTTCGACGAACTTCTGACAATTCATCGAAGACCAAGTTTGAGCACTGTAAGGACAGAGAGAATGCGCATGTCCATGAGATTTCTTTTGAGAGGTAGTAGTAATTTTCTCTTCATCAGGCCTTTCATTGACCAAAAGTTTTTCCTGGCATTTTCCATGTTGGTCAACCTCTTTTACATGTCTTGCCAGTTTGTGAGAGACTATTTGGCCAAGATAAAAATGTACTCCTGAACATACCCCACCCTCATACCTCCCACACTCGCTCTGTGTTGCATGCTGTTAGTGATAATCTTGGTCTTTGACATATTCATCCCCAGTCTGAATCAGAGGCTTGCATTGTTAAGTTGGCTGACCATTTCACTACACTCTGCACCAACACAATGTCATCAGTGGAATGGAGATTGGTTAGTTTTTTATCTCCGACCATAATTCCCTTTTCCTTACAGCTACCAGCCAATTGTTTGAAGACCTCTTCCAAGGTGGCGGTGAAGAGTTTAGGAGACAGTGGATCAATAATAAAACAATAATGTACACGTTAAAAAATTTACAAATATATTAAATGCAAATTACATCAATAAGAATATAATTTCACTGGAATTATTATGTAGGACTAGGAAAATTAAGTTAAAGAAAGTTTTTGGAAAAAAACTCAACTAAAAACAAAATACCGCAATTCCGAAAATTAGACAGACCTTTCGCTTCATTCCATTAGTATACGAATTTTGATCGACATTCATTTTAAGTACCTACTGTGATGATGATTGGTGATGATCATTATACAACACAAACTGGTTCCGGCAAACCCTGGTAATTTTTATGTAATTGGCTAGACAAACAAATGGTGGGTTTTGACCTAAACCGCATTTACACTATCGTGCTCACTATTCGCATCGCCACTCGTCGAAACAATCGACTCTCTTATTAGTTTGTGAAACATTCGGGTCGAGTGGCTGACGCGAACTACCGTTCACACATTCGTGGGATGTTCCATTTGAGCTCTCGCATGCGAACATGGAGAATTTGGAGACTAAAGCTCAGTTTATATAATTTTTTGGAGATTCTACCCAAAATATTAAAAAAGAACTTCGTCGCAGACGAAGGTGAATAATAGCGTGTCATCGCAATAAGATAGGACCATGTAAATACCTATTTACGTAGTTGTAACTAAATATTTTTCTTAATAAAAAAGTTTACTTTTTAAAATAAGCACATAAGCACGACGTGCTTATGTTTTAAGTCCCACCATCTATGTTTCCTCTCATCTCATTTCATCCACAGCCTCAATTCACCCACTGCCGGGTATAGACCTCCAGAAGTCTGTCCCCCCCGAAGGGGTTCCCGCCTTGTCGTGGCGGGGGGGCTCTAGTAGCCGTGGTCGATTTCATCCAACGGTGAAGCTAAGAGGAACCCACGGGGCCGGCCGACGGTGGTAGGCTGGCTCGAGGAGGAGGGCGTTCCGCGCGGGTCTCGTATGGTCAGCGGGACCGCGCGGATGCGCGAGGAGGAGGGTCGCGGGGGGAGAGACGTGTCGATGGGTCGTTGCCGCTCGTCCTGTCCTCCGCGACCCTAGCGGTGCTGCACCGCTTTCAATGATGCAGTGGCGGCGGGGCCGCGGAGGAAGAGACGTGTCGGTGTGTCGTTGCCGCTCGTCCTATCCTCCGCGGCCGAACGTGGCCGGTTGGACCGTGGTGGGCGCTCCAAGGGACTCTCTTCGGAGAGTCCGCGCGGAAGCGCGTTAGGTGTTGGCTGGGGGAGCAGCCACTGAACTTCACAGTTGAGTGGATGCTGTCCTGGCCCCCCATGGCCTCTGGGTAGCGGACTCGGGGGAGTTCGCTGCCCAGCATAAAGGGGCCCGGGATGAAAGGCTCGTCTGGTGTTCGGCGAGCCTCACATTCGAAGTCGGGGGACCGATGTGTCTCCCTTCTCGAGGAGGGGCTGCGCAGGGCGCGGCCAGCCGCTGGTGGGGGCGCGGACGAGTGCAACAGCGTACCCGTACCCCCACCTACAGCGGAGAGGAGGAACACTCCGGGGGTTTAGTGCGGTCGGGCTGCTCCCCTTCTGGGTTCAGCCCAGTCCCACATAACCCCGGCTCTGCCCCCGCGGGGTCGGGGTATCTGTAAGCAGATTCCCCCGGATTAAAAAAAAAAGGGGCGGGTTAGGGGCTGGGCGAGGGGGTGAGTTTACCCCCTCACCCACTGCCATGCACTCAACCACGCACTCACCCACTCTCCCACTCACTCTCCCACTCACTCACCCATTCACTGACACACTAACCCACTCACTCACCCACTCACACACCTACTCACTCACCCACTCAACAATTTTGTAAGCTTCAAACTAAAAAACGTAAGCGAAAAAAATTTCAAAAGCACGCTTTTTAAAAAAATCACTTTTTAACGTTTAAAAAAACAAGCAGCTTTTCCCTTGTCTAGTTATGTATTTGTGATAGCCAGATATCATATACATATAAATGATTGCACTTTCACATTGATCATTTAATTTGTTGTGGTCATTTGGATTTTGTAAAAACAATTTATAATATTCGATAATAGAAACAAATACGCAACAGAAAGTTGTAAACAGTGGAAAAAAATCGCAAATTCGGCAATATTTTAATATAAGTGGGATGTGTTTGTTATGCTGAATGCATCTCATGGTGGATAAGAAAAAAAGCATCATATAATTTTTTGGCTATGTATAAGTCTAGCACTTGATACGCCCGTTATTATTTTGTCTTAATTTCATTTCATTAATTTGTTTGTGATCGAATTCTAAGCCTTGATATAGTTTTTCCTAAAAATATTTAATCTACTAACACGTTTCATTATTATAGGTACACATTGTATTTGAAGACAGTTCAAATCGATCGTGATCACAATCCTTTCATTTGGTTTTCTGGCAACTAGTACGTAAACTTGACAAATAGCATTTCAATTCAACAAAGTTTGCAAGAGTTTACAGTGAAAAACTGTCCTCTGAAGCTGGCCTAGTTTATCAAAATAAATAGAACCAACTTTTATCACTTAATACAGAAACACTGGTCATCATTCACCATAATTTGACTTTATTGAAATTTGAGTATCAAATTTACAGATAACGTTACCTAACTTCACAATTCGTTCAATTATAGGTAATAAAATTTAATAAACACATTGTCAATAATCCTGTAGTTGCTGTTTATCCTATTACTATTATATCACATTTTACTCAATAAATCAATTAATTTGGCGTGGTGATTATGAATTTTTATAAGTTTTAAGCATCCGGTATACGGCCGGATATTGTTCTACTATCCGGTATCCGGCCGGATATTACTCTACTATCCTGTATCCGACCGGATAGTATAAATAGGCCAAATACCGGATAGTTAACGGAATTCCGTTTCATCTCTAGTTTTTTTCACTGTTGTGAAATAGTTTTAAGAGTCGTATTCCAGAACTCTACTCTATGCTCAAGTCAGGACTTGAGTATGATTTAAAGCACTGCAAATCATACTCAAGTCTATGCCATTAGGGTCGTTTTTCCAATGCTTCAAATCATACTCAAGTCTGCTCAAGTCAGGATTTGAGTATGGTTTAAAGCACTCGAAATCATACTCAAGTCCCTGCCATTAGGGTAGTATTTCCAGTGCTTGTGTTTCCAGTGCAATCCTGACTTGAGCATTGAGTAGAGTTCTAGAATTATCCTATAATATTATTATATTATGAATTATTTTTTTTGAAGTTCTTTATGTGGCTTTTAGCTATACAAGTTTATTTTATAATTCACGCTAAATAAAATTTCTTTATAAGAATATTTCTAAACGTAGAATATAATATGAGCCCTCGAAATTGTATTTTTTAAATTTTTCGGAAAATTACCCAACAGTAGATAGGCTTACTGTACCAACTTTATAGATGACATTAAAATCATTACGCCCCTTTTTTCTTTGGACAGTAATGTAAAAATGAAAATGACCAATCAATTTATATAGAAAACCGATTTTATGTGATTTATTTTCTTTGAAAGTAAGTTCAGCATCTAGATATGTACTGTTTTTTTTCCTCAATCTTTTGTTTTTTGGTGAGGTTTCACCTGGCAACATTGGTGGCTGCCATTTATGGAAATAATAATTGTTATATAGATAAACGTGATTGAATTTATTTCATTTTTTGGAATTGTTTGACCGATGAAAACTATTTTTTTTTCTATTTAGAAGGAAAATCTGTACATTTAATTAATTAACTATGAATACTGAAACATTCCATCAAGATGATTTTGATTTTAATTACCAATCAAATCCAATGGACTTCGCCAGGCCCCGACCCAGGTACAATCTCGAGTTTTATTTTCCTTTTTGTCATATCAAATTATGGGATGTTATTAACGAAAGCGTAATTTCGCCTATGGCGATCTTCAACTTCACGTCTATATACTGTACGTCTATTTAAAGGGAAACCTCAGGTTTTATTTTAATTGTTGACCAAATTAATAATTTTAGGAAAGCGCAATACAATAACGCGTATGGAAACTACAGGGGAGGCTATCGTGGCGGTGCCGTCTTTCAACGTGGCCCGCCGCCGGCACTAATGGACCTTCCGATGCCTCGACTAGGTTTTTTTAGGCCTCCTGGTCCATATGGCCCTCCTGGCCCATATGGCCGCTCTCCTGGATCATACGGCCCGCGTGGATCACCATTTCGTCCAGGCCCAATGACATATGGTAGAAACAACCGTGGTGTCCCATTTGAAGAGAAGGCTATAAGGTTTTTGATGAGTGAGTATTTTTATGTAAGAGAAATATTAATATTTGTATCACATAACATTACTACGTACAATTTACTGTTTATTGCAGGATGTGGACTTGTCAGGGATGCATTGAAGACTATACCCAGAGATGTACTTTGGATGATTGAGCCCAATCGTTGTGGCCTGTGTGACATCACCTTTGAAAATTTCAACATGTGTAAGTTTCTATGTTTCTTTTATCACATGTTCAGTCTCATGACAAGGACAGTTAATCTCATTATAATTTGTTAGGTGTACCAAATTTTTTTATATTATTATTTTATAACCATCTTGAAATGCCAACTATCAAACAGAAGATACTGATACAGTAGGATGTATTATATAACATAATTATGTTGCGTACAATACAATATACAAGGTGCCCTACACAAAATATGTAAAAAAAATTATGTTTGAAGTATGTCAATTCTGCATTCTAGGATTTGTAAAGTTTTATTTTTTTATTCTACTTTTAGAAATAAGACAATGTCTTCATTAAGCAAAATATTTTATCTACAATATTTAAAGTACTGTCCCTCCGTGTTGCATAGCCGTGGGCATCCTGTATAACACCAGTCACAGAAATCAACATTTGTGTATGCTTGTGGAAAAATGCTAATTAACAAGTTATTGTCAAAACTTACATCAAACTGGGGCCTTGCCATGAACTCATATTACAGTTCAGTATAGGTTGAT